TTAAAAGACAACAGGGTATAAATAAAACCCCCACACCTGACCACAAAAACCCTAGCCGCCTGCCCTCACCGGAAAAGACGAACCAGACGCCGGAGGAGCCGGCCGCCGCCACCCGCCTCCGCACCGGGGAGTTTTCTGACCGCCAATCGAGGTAAATTTCATACCCTCGGCTCGTTTTTCAATGCTAAGTTCCCCTGTGGCCAAATCAGAGCCAAAATTCTGGCCAAACGGCCGGAAAACACGGCCAAAACCCAGCGGTGCCGCTGCGTCCCTCCTTGATTTTTGCCTCCGATGAGGCCTTCCCGGCTTCCGTTTGATACAATTTTTATATCACCATGATCACCATTCCTTTCTCTACAGGTTGATCGGAGCCAAATCACCAAAACACGAACCTCGCCGGAGAGCCGCCGCACCCAAGAGCACCGCCGCCGGTAAGCTTTGGTTTTTCGTAATTTTTTGGCCCCCCGAGGGCCCTAGGGTTATTTTATCACAGGGACCGATGTGAGTGTGGCCGAATTCGGCCAGAAACGGTCGAAAACGGCCAACCCGAGGCGAATCGCTGCCGCAAGCGGCGGAGCCGCCGTGCTGGAATTGCGATATTGGCCGAAAGGGGCCCTAGGTCTAATTTGGGATTTTTTGGGACACGTGCAGGTACCAGTAGTGCATTTCAGTTCCCCGAGAAAAATTCAGGAAAAATTAGGGACAGCCTGCAGGCGCACTGTAGTGCCGTATTCGGACCCCGAAATAAGTAAGGACCCCTCACCTTATTTTCTATCACGGTATTAAAGTTCAATAAGTGATAAAACGGTATTTCATGAATCAACAGATGTGTGAAATTGTTTAAGGTCGCTAATGGAGCCCGAGTCTGGTGTGTTTGTCGGTTAGCTGTTGTTTGGCCTATTTTATGGTTTTAAATGCAGTATGAGGTCTGATGTTTTCATTTCATAGTTTCGTGTGCATATATTTCTGTTTTATTGATTATGGGTTGAATGACTGAGAACTCAATATTGTATGTTGTCTTGTTTCGCATAAATTACTGGTTTGCTTGTTTGTGTGTGAATTGATGATGCTGACTGAGGAAAAGGGAAATGAAAGGTTATGTAAATTGATAATTGTATAATGTGGTCAGCCTGACTAGATATCCTGGGAGATGGTGGACGGATCGGGTCCGTAGGGAACCCTACTGGGATTGTGGTCTCTCATACCGGACGGGGTATGGAGACCTTATGTGTTTTGGTGCCCATACCGGACGGGGTATGGGGACGGCTCGTTTCACCCTCATACCAGACGGGGTATTGAGGTTTATAGTTTTGGCGCCCATACCGGACGGGGAATGGGGACGGCCCTGGAATCTGATTACAAGTGTTAAGGGTTCACAGGTAGCGGGACCCCTATGGATCCCCATGGATACTAGTAGGCTAGTAAATGAGGAAAAATATGCTGTGTAATGATTAATTGTAAAAGGTGTGATAAGTATTATGTTATACAGCTCATATGATTTCATAATGATGATAATGTTATTGCTTTCGTATATTGTTTTATGAATTTCACCGAGGTAAGTGGATAGTAAAAGATTTTATTATTGATAAAAGAATTTGTTGTAAATTATGCTCCATTGGTCTTCTTGTGTTTGCTACCCACTTTTACCTCCGTGACGGTGAGATAGTATGATGTCTTTACTGGGCTGGTGTAGCTCATTCCTTATTTAATCATTTCAGATTAGGAAGACATTGTTCCCGATCCCGTTCCGCAGGAAGACGGCGAAGGGGACGCCTAAAGACTTCGTAGTTATATTCATAGCTTTTACTTTTGAGTTTCTCTTTTTGTTAGTTTGTTCTTTTATACTTTGAGCACATTTTTGGTTTTAGTGTAAGGGATGTTAATCAAAAATTTTATTACGCTTTCGCATTTGACCTTTTTAATACACATATTTTTTTTTAAATTTCCAGGCCGTTACACTAGTCAAGCAAAAATATTACACTACTCACTGATACAGAAATGAAAGTTGGTAAAAATCATGAAAATAACTAATGGAGCTCTTAATTTAAGTAAATTCATTTATCATAAGTAAAATCATTTATTGTACACTTACCGTAGTGAAATTTCCACAACAGACTTATAGAGGTAATAGTACAAACAATATTATAATTTCATATTCAATTAACTAGAACAACAACTTTTTCCTTTTATCTGCCTACTAGTATCCATAGGGGTTCATAAAGATGTCTCCACTATGCGTGAACCCTTATTTAACATTTTTAAGTAATCGGCCGTCTCCATACCTCGTCTAGTATGAATGCCAAAAAAATCATCTCTCAATATTGTCCGATATGAGAGTGAAATGGGTCGTTTCCATACCCCATCCGGTATGAGCGCCAAAATATCAATCCTCAATGCCCCGTCCGGTATGAGGCAACGTTCACGGTAGGGTTGCCTGTACACCCTGTCCGTCCACCATCTCTCAGGATATCCAGTAAGGCTACCATTCATTCATTCACTTAATCAAACAATTCTCCGTTTACATTTAATTTCCAGTTTCAATATTTAATTATAAATCACGTAAAACAAGCAATATATGCATCAAGGAAACACCACTGAATCATCATACTAACTCCAGTATAATGTTATTCATTTGAAACAATAAAATCAATCAAACAGGATCAATAGTGAATAATAACTAGTTCTGACTACATTAGTAACCTGTAATTAATTATTGAGATTTTCTAAATTGTACAAAATACCACATTATTTATAATTAGACTTCAATTCCATAACAAAGAATATGATGAAGGATTCTTGCTCGAATCGGTGTCGAAACGCTAAACTTTCAGGTGCGTCTATTAGTGGTCCTCAAGTTCCCTGAATTTTTTTTCGAAAATTAAAACACACTCCAACTACCTAGAAATACCCCAAAAAATTAAAAACTAGTGTTAAAATCCTCTTCTGGCCAATTTTAGAATTCTGACACGGTGGCACCGCCACTCACGGTGGTGGTTTGCCTCGGACTAACCGTTTTCTACTAATTTCGGCCGATTTCGGCTGGTTTTGTACTCATCCTTGTGAGAAAATACATTAAGGAGTCTCGGTTGGCCAAAAAAAATAAAAAAATAGAAGCTTACTGGCGGCGGAATTTTCTGGTACAGCGCCTCCGCTGGCTTACCTTCGCGGTTGGGCATTTTTCTTCGGTCAAATTATGAGAAACAGAATGGTGAATACAATGGTAGAAAAATAACATTAAAACGGAAATCGGGAAGGGCCTCATCGAAGGTGATTTTTGATTTTTTCTGCGGCGGCGCCACCGGGCTTTACCCACGTTTTCGGCTCAATCGCCGGTCCTTTTGCTCATATATTACCATGGGGGTGTTCAAAATCGAATTTCGAGCGAATAAATTTTTTTTTTTATCTCTTTTGTCAATTGGAGGTGACTCTGGCACGGTGGCAGGTGGCGGTCGGCTCTCTCTCCCGGCGACTGGTTCTTCTTCTCCAGCGGGGGGGCTGGCGGCTAGGTTAGGGTTCGGTGTGAAGTGAGGTATTTATATCTGTCTTCTTTTAATATGGACTGTCTATCGTGTTTGATCTCGATCATCCGATCGTGTTTAAATAAGAAATGAATCTAGATTGTCAACGCGCAGGGGAACAATTTTGGACCGTCTGATCGCGGGCACACGGATTGCCAGTGTGGCCTTCCGCGTGGCACCGGGTCAACGTATCTTACCAAACATTGTGCTCCGGTTCGTCGGGGCTACTGACTGGGCAGTTTTACGTGACATATTTTTTTAAAATTATATTTTGACCCTTAATTTTTTATTTTTCTTTTAAAAATACCCTCATAACCCAAATTTTTACCATTTTTTTCAAAATTATTTTTAATTTCATCATCCACTTATTTTTTTAATTTTTTTATATTAAATAAAATTCATAAATTAAAAAATTATATTTTATACATTAATTTTAAATTAATTTTTTTAAAAAATTAATTACAGGTATTACAGTTATGACAACAAGTAGTTCCTTAATCTCTTTAGTCTTTAGTAAGTAGTAATATAACTTAAGGCATTTATCAAGTCATTTTGGTTGAGAAGTTTCAAGGCATAATCTTGGGTTCCTTTCTTTACGTTTGTGTTATGTAGGTGATAATTCCGTCAAACTTGAAAGTGGGTATTTTTAGATTTTTGAAAATTTTAATATTATTATTATTATTATTACTACGTGAGTTAAAAAAATAAAAAATAAAAAAGAGAAAAGAAAATAAAAAGTCAATTAAAAAAAAAAAAAAGAAAAATCTGTTCTCCATTTTTCAACTCCAATCCATTTTATTTAAAACCTAACAATTTTGCCCAAGCCTAAAACCCAATCTAAATTTAAGCCTCATTAGAAAGAGTTCAGAAACATGGTTGATTTTAATTTAAAGAAAATTAATCCAAATATTATTTAAGCATGTTTTTTGGTTGGAGTTGGAAAGGTATGCTAGGGTTCCTATTTAGGAAAGAAGACAAAAGGTACAGTAAAAATCAGAGAGCCTTGGTAAAAAAAAAAAAAAAAAGTGTGAATAATAGTTGAGGCAGAAAAGCCAGGAGAGAGAACGGAATCAAACCGTAAGGAAAATTAGAAAATGGGCAACAAGTTAACACTAACAGGGTTATATTATTACAAGGCTTTATTTATTTCTATCTTTGTTTAACCTCATCCACATGATATATAAACATTTAATAAGAATACACTCATACTTAAAATTCACATGTTTAACTTTACATCACTAGACAAGTGCCTTCTCCTCATAATTAACTATGAGGATATGTACAATAATTAAACCAGTATACATATCTTTTTCTCTAATCCTCTCAGAATTATCTCAAATTTAAAAATTATTTTCAAAATATTAATTTCTCCTCTCATATCAAATATTTAAAATATTAAACATGTAGAAAATCTATTCAATTATTTGTTGTGAATAATGTAATCCATTATTCAATAAATTTTAAAGAACCCCCTCATTTAAATACAGTTAACAGGCAAGGATAAAAATTATGGCCTCTAGGAATTCGTTTGAACAATGTTTTGCTGGATAACAACAGTCCAACACCCTCCTGCTGCATACAGTACATATAAACTCTTAATAGCAGCAACTTCAACTAACATCATATCACAACTGAGAAATTACAACTTCTTCCCAACAAACAGAAGTCTGTAAGTCATTTACAGATAGAGGTCCAGGTAACATAAAACCCTCAACCCAACTCAAATCACTTCGTAAAACAAACTGGCAAGGGATAAGGACTCTAAAACAACTCCAACTTTTAGCACCAAATTTTTTAAATGACTGGGACAGCCAGGCAAACCTTTCAGTCAAACGGCCATCCAGAATATCCCATGTGGTGGTTGTTTTCATGCATGCCTGGCGAGCTACTTCCGGCTGTTCCATTATTGCTTGAGCTCGAATTGGATGAGCGAAATGGCCACAGGTAAGAAAAAGGACTTCTTCTTCCTTGATTCTCTCGGTTATTCTCCCTCCCACTGGTACCACTGCTAAAGCTGCTGCTTCTACTTCGTTCACCTGTGCTTTGATAACTTTGGCTGCTGCCTGACCCCATCTGCGGTAGCTCCTGCCGACAAACAGGGCATGAATTATGCTGCAAAAGCCATGGGACAATGCAATCTGAATGATACATGTGGTTACATGGCATTTGTTTTACTTCAAATCCTAGTTCGAATTTATCTTTGCACACGGGACAGTGTGAATCCAAACGAAGATGCCTTTGTGTGATCTTAATGGTCGGCATTGCATCAATTGATGATCTGGATGCTGGGGGAGGGCCCCGTCGATCATTTGCTGAAAGCTGCTCAAACAGCTCTTCTAATCCAGGACCAAAAAAGTAATCGCCAGCATTACCCCGTGCAAGGCCAATTCCTGGAGAACCATTAAAGAGAGCTTCAAACCCACCATTCCCAGACAGCCTTACAGGAATTTGGCCACCAAAAATCAAGAGAGGGCTAAAGCCAGGACTATGTTCATGAATAGAACCTGACCTCCCCCTGATGTCATGGTTAAAGCTTCTCTCAGCTAAACACTGCCTCATCATGGCTGAGAAAGCATCCATGAGACCAAACCTTGGGTCACGGTCTTCATCACTATCCAGTCCAAAGAAATCCAGCGGGTTGATGTGCATCAGATCATCCAGTTCTTGAACAAATCCTCCACTACAGTAGGGGCAGACAGCATCACACCCCCGCAGGCGAACCGGCCTCCTGCATCTGTAACACCAATGCGTGGTTCTGCTACTTGACATCCTCTTTTCTCTCCCCTCTCTTTGCAGAGTTCCCAAAGAGAAAACTGGCACTCTTTCAAGTTGTTCCTTAACTATTATCTATACATCATGCCCACTACTCTGCAAAAGGAACATATCAATATGGATTTTCAATGATAAGGATTTCAGAAGATCAACAGAATGTTCAAAGCAAATCAATTGCTGAGGGACAACAAAAAGTGGAAGCTGTTTGCAAATCCACATTTTTTAGCTCAATTATCCAACTATTGTTTTGAAATGAAACCTATTACAAATGAAATTTAGCAAGTGAATTTCAAATTAATCAAAATTTGACATAATTTGAAAACTTGCAGTTCAGAGAAAAGAATTGAAATCATTTCTGCATTCCTATTTATGTTTCCCCAAGTACATTTATTCAATTTAATTTCATAAAATATTTTCTAACATCAATGCAAATAAATTCTTTTCTCCAATGAAATTTAAGCTGTTCATTTATTCCCAATAAAACCTAAGAATGTTACCAGAATGAAACTAAATTACTATATATACATATGTGTAAGCAAATTAAAGATTAATTACGAATCTCTGACAAACAGACAAGAAACAGCAAATGGAGCAGAAGCACCAAATATTATGAAAAAACAAAAGGACGGGAACTCAATCAAAATTCCTATAAAACTTAGATATTGACTACCAATGGATTTACAAGGGGAAAAATCAGAAAAAGGAACTAGAAACAAATGGTGTCACAAAGCTCAAAATGATGGCAACTTGGTTCGTCGAGAGGATAACACGATTGTGATATGGCAAATAAAATGGTCCTTTCAGAGGTCTCTCTCTATCCTGCACTCCTAATCCTTCCCTCCTCCCTCTTCTTCCATCTCTATCAGCATATTTTCTCCAAATTTGATGAAATAAGAAAGATATCACATAACATTTCTTTTGTGGTTGAATGAAATGCCAAATCAGAATATGCAGTCACGAGGATAAAACTTGTCATCATTTAAATAATGCTCCACAGAAAGTCAACAATTTTCTCAAACTTTTTGTGTTTAGAGGATGAAATATGTCGGGCATGCCTATGTTCCTTAACTATCGTGCTACATTACATCATAAAACATTAAGGACCTTGGCTAAGCAGATTTCCATGTAAAACAGTTGGAAGAGTAAAGACAATCCAATGCTTGGGTAGCTTTGAGGAAAGGATCCTCACTATTTAAATAATCAAGAAAAGCAAAAAGGATGCTCTTATGCAATAACACAGGGACACTTTTGTCAAAATCTTTTATCAGATTTGTGGACAAAGAATACGTTGAGAATGCAGCTTTCATAATAATAGGAACGAAATGAGACCTGTGGCATCAGGATAGTACAAAGGTGGACAAAAGAGAGGCAAACGGTTCAATAACACTGTCTATTTTCTAATTAGTCATCAAAGAGAATAACATGAGGGCTTTTGTAGAGGTAGTAACCCCTTTCCAAAAAGGGGTTAAGGACTATTGTATGTGATACTTCTCTATTTCCTTGCTAATAACAGTACTTCTATATATATATATATGCACACACACACACATATATGTATATTCGTATGTAAAGGTTTTCCCAGACCCATTCAGTTCCACTCATGAGTAATCATTTATCATTATTTATCACCAGTCAATGAGATACCCAACCTATGATTTAGCAGCTGTACATGTATCTATTTGCCTTGGCATGCAAAAGGTGCATACTTCGCCTCAACATACTTGCAATTCAAAATTTCCCTTGGATGAAAGAAGTATTATTTGCACCTTAAGTTCCCTGAAACAAAATTAATTTAGAAACAAGAGAAATAAGTTTTTGATACTTTTCATGGTAAGCTCAGTACAACACTTCATATATGTGAAGTGATACGGTACATCCCGTTTATATTTATATATAAAAAAAACACAACTCAAGGCAGATAATCTTTCTCCACTATACCAACCAGTTTTCTCTATATTTCTCTCTGATCAATCCAAAAATTTACACGATTTTTAACGAAAACAATATTACGCTAGAAGCTAGAGCGACTGAGCCTCAGATCAAAGGAAAAGGGAAAAAAAAGAGTAAGAGAGAGAAAATCCATAACCCATGTGACCAGAAAATGAGAAGAAAACAACTGCAACATCAAGACCCCGAATTTTGATTTATTTCCAATAAATTCGAGTCGTGATTCTACTATCGTGAAAATAAGCTGGATTACTTACCATTTTCAACAAGCCACCCCCCAACGCCCGACCGAAAAATAAGACTCTTCAATGAAATTTCGATTAATTCATTGACAGGTAACCACATGGTTTTTTCCTTTAAAAGATTGTTCCCAATTCATGAACAATTGCTTTTTAGGTCACCGATTAATGAGTAATCAAAAGGAAGCTGAGAACAGTTTATAAAAAACGAACATAATTTCGTGAAAGCGAAAACTGACCTAAAATTTAAGAAATCAGACACAGATTTCCAGCAACTTACAAGATCGAAAGAGGAAGTAGCGGATCAATTAGCAGACGCAGGAAGAAGAGAAACCGCGGTATCCTCTTACTTGTCGAAATAGAACGGATAGATCTAGATGCACTAAAGAGGGATAAACACTGTTTTATCCTACGCTACACGTGTTGCGTAGTGCGCCCACTATATATACATAGCTTATTTATTTCACTCTTTGGACCCAAACAAAAAAAAATAATAATAATAATTTTTTATTTTTTATTAGTTTTAAATTAATTAAAGGTTAAAATTTAGTTTTTTTTAAAAAAATAAATAAGTATCAAAAGGTCTCCTCCCATTTCTTTTTGTTTTAGTAAAAAATTTTAAAAATTAGTGTTGATTTAGTCTCATCGACACGCCTCCAATGAGGTCCTTCCTGATTCCCGTTCAGCGTAATTTTTCTATCGTTATGATCACCGTTCTTTTCTCTATAAGTTGACTAGAGCAAAACATCTAACCGCAACGTGAGCCGGAGGAGCCGCCGGTGAGTTTTGGTTTTCTGTATTTTTTTTTTATCAACCGAGGCCCCTAAGTATGTTTTCTCACAGGGATTGATGCAAAACTGATTGAAAACAGCCAACCCAACGTGAGCGGCGGCACCGTTGCCAGATTTTTAAAATTGGCCGAGTGGGCCCTAAGACTAATTTTAGGTTTATTTGGAACATTTGTAGGTACAATTAGCACGTTTCAGTTCCCGGAGAAAAATTTAGGGAATCAATGGACCGTCCGTAGGCGCAGTAAACAATTTAGTTTTTAGGGCGTCAAATTGAGTAAGCATCCATCACCCTATTCTCTATCATAGAACTGAAGTCTAAATAAATAATAATGTGATATTTTGTGCGATTTTAGTAAACATGCATAATTAATTACGGATTGTTAATAGAGCCAGAACAAAAAAATATCTACTGTTGTTTGTTGATTGATTTTACAGTTTATATGCACGATGGTATCTGATTTATTTTGTGGTCTTGAATGCATATATGATTTAATTGATGTGTTTACTACTGAATTGGAAAAAAGGGAATGTTAAACGATAAAAAAATTGTGTGATTTAAATGAATAGATGAAACGACAGCCTTACTGCATATCATGGGAGATGGTGGACGGACCGGGTACATAGAAAACCCTACCGTGAACGTTATCTCATACCAGATGGGGTACGGAGACGGCTCACTTCACCCTCATACCGAACGGGGTATTGAGGTTTAATGATTTAGTATTTTTACCGGACGAGATATGAGGACAGCCTTGTAATTGAGATTGTTAAAGAAAAGGGGTTCACTTGTAGCGGGGACATTCCTATGAACCCCCATGGATACTAGTAGACTGGTGAAAAGAGAAACAGTTATGGTTTGGTTTATTGTTAATGGATATAGATTTATAATATGTTCTATATTGTTGATTGTTCATGAAATTATGATCTGTATGATATTATTATTTTTATAGGTTGTTTTCATAAATTTTACTATGGTAAGCGAACGAAAAATAATTTTATGATTGATAAATGAATTTACTAAATTTAATGCTCCATTAGTGGTTTTCAATTTTATACCAACCTTTACTTTTGTGCCGGTGATATAGTGTGATATTCTTACTGGGCTAGTGTAGGTCATCCTTTATTTAACAATTTCATATCAAGAGAACTAGGTTCCAGAGCCCGATCCGCAAGAAGATTATGAGTAGATGCTACATGTTTTCTATTTTTCATTTGTTTCCTTATTTCTCGTATTTTTTTCAAAGAATTAATTCCGTAATGCTGGTTAGTAATTTTAAGTTATTGTATAAGGAATGTAATTTTTAACCTTTTATTTCGCTTCCTCACTTGAGTTATTATATATTTCTTTTTGGATTTTCGGGGTCATTATAGTTGGTATCAGAGCCGCGTTCATCGGACCCATTCCTTACACAATAATCCTTAGAGAAACACCAAAATAATGAATTATCACTCAACCATTCCTTATGAAATGCAGGTATAGAGAGATAAGGAGAGGAAGACCCCACTAAACCGAGCAGCCCAGGATGGTTCGCTTAGAGAAGATGTTGACTGGAAATTTGAGATACTAGAGAGACTCATTGCTGCCCAGCAGGGCCGAGAAGAGAGGAGGGAGCTACCTGACCCTTCCTCGCTGCCACAAGTTGAGCCACCCCTACAGCGAGAGGATCTCGAGCTACCCCGGTACTACCCTGCTCCTCCACAATACCACCCGAAACCACCACAATATGATCCAGTGCGCCAGCCACAGTACCACCCGACACCACCACAGTACAATCTGGTACCCCCACCATATCAACAAGTACCACCGCAGGGCCCCTTAGTCTATCCTCAGCATTGCCTAGTCCCTCTTCTGCGGGACTCAGTTCCTCCCATGATTGACCCAGGCTACATAGAGAGGTACAAGAGACTAAATCCATCTACTTTTGCAAAGAGATCATCTTTTGAAGATGCCGAGTACTGGTTAGTAGAGACAGAGAAGGCCTTCAAGACCCTGGGAGTGACTCCCAAACAGAAAGTCACCCTTGCTACCTACATGCTAGTGGGAGAAGCAGACCGTTGGTGGGAACTCAAACAGATCACCCTGCCTGTTCCAGTTATTTGGGAACAGTTCCTAACAGCCTTTCATGCAGAGTACCTTCCAGAGCATCTCCGACATCTGAAGGAGATGGAGTTTGTACAGTTAGTCCAAAGAAACATGACTGTATTAGAATATGCTTGCAAGTTCCTAGAGTTGGGCCAATACTCCCCTGAGACGTTGTTGGATGAAGGCAGGAAGGCTAGGAGATTCGAGTGGGGTCTCTGCCTAAAGATCAAACAACATTTATTTGTGCTGGAGCTTAGGACTTATTCGACCATTCTGGCCAAGGCACAGTTAGTGGAGAGGAGCTTCCGCACCCTTTCTCAGGCAGCAGGAAACCTTAGACCCTCAACTCCACTCCATAAACCAGCACTTACTGCGCCTGTTCAACAGAACAAGAGGCCCAAACCGGTGATCCAGGCTCTCCCTTAGGCTTCAGTGGCAGGACGCAGTAAGAGCTGTCAGTATTGTGGCAAGGATCATGGGGACTGACCCTGCTATCGCCTCAACAATACATGTCACATATGTGGTAGTGCCCAATATTATACGAGGGAGTGCCAAGGAATCAAAATTAGGGCAGACCTCCTATCCAGGGCAGAGCTGACAATCTCACCCAGCAGGATGCAGAAACCAACTCGAACGTGGTACATGATATGTACACTATCTGTAACTATTTTGCTTATATTTTGATTGATACTAGTGCATCGTATTCATTCGTCTCACCTATTTTTGCATCAAAATTTAATGTACTACCTGATAAATTTGATTTTATATTGTTTGTGTCTACTGCTGGTAGTATGACACTATTGGAAGAAGTTGTCTATAGGGCCTGTGTCATAGATATAACAGATAGGAAATTGAGTGTGGACCTGATAGAATTAGACATGGGAGATTTTAATGTAATTTTAAGAATAAATTGGCTAACAGCGTATCATGCCACCGTAGATTGTTTTAACAAGAAGGTTGTATTCAATCCTCCTAATGAGGAGTCATGTACAAATTAATAAAATCGTTTAGCATTTATTCCTTCATGGTAAATTTTCTTATTCTTCGAGTACTTTAACTCTGCTGTTTTCTCTAACTAGGCAAACCCAAGAAAGAGATTTGTATTCAAGAGATTCTAGTAGTCCGAGACTTTGCAAATGTGTTTTTGAATGAACTACCTGGACTGCCAGTGGACAAGGAAGTCAAATTCACCATAGACCTCCGGCCGGGCACCCAGCCTATTTCGGTTGCTCCTTACTGCATGAGCCGTGTTGAGATGGAGGAATTGCAAAAAATAGATCACTGAATTACAAGACAGTGATTTTATCCGACATAGTGTGTCTACTTGGGGTGCCGGAGTCACCTTTGCCAGAAAGGGATATGAGATGTTGAGGTTATGTATTGATTAGAGAGAGTTGAATAGAGTCACAATCAAGAACAAGTATCCCCTCTCCAGGATTGATGATCTCTTCGATTAGTGGAAGGGTCCCTAGGTATTCTCTAAAATAGATATGTGTTCAGGTTACCATCAGGTAAAAATGAGGACAAAAGACATCCCCAAGATAGTCTTTCGAACCAGGTACAGATACTATGAGTTCCTGGTCATGCCATTTGGACTAACTGATGCCCCAACCATCTTCATGGACTTGATGAACAGGGTCTTCAGATAAATCTTGGATCAGTTTGTGATTGTATTCATCGATAACATCATGGTTTATTCAAAAAGCAGAGAGGAACATGCTCACCATCTAACTTAAGTTTTGCATGTTCTCAGATAAAAGAAACTGTATGCAAAATTGAGTAAGTGTGGATTTTAGCTTGAGTAAACCACCTTCTTGGGACACATCATATCAAAGG